GGGTTGGAAGAATATAATCACGTTTTTGTTTTTTGTTTTTTTTCCGAGACAGAGTCTCTGTTGCCTGGGTTGGAGTGCAGTGGCTCGATCTTGATTCACTGCAACCTCTACCTCCTGTGTTCAAGCGATTCTCCTTCCTCAGCGTACCAAGTAGCTGGGATTACAGGCATGTGCCACCATGCCCAGCTAATTTTTGTATTTTTAGTAGAGATGGGGTTTCACCATGTTGGCGGATCTTGAACTCCTGACCTCAGCTGACCCACCCGCCTCTGCCTCCCAAAGTGCTAGGATTACAGGCACAAGCTACCGTGGCTGGCCTTATGATCACATTTTAAGAAAATCACATTGCTGTAGTTTCAGTTCTCACTAAATCATTCTTGCCAAATATTTTTTTCTTATATCCATCTCTAATAATGGTATTTTCCCAATTAGATTTATCTGGTGATTCTGCATTGCATGTAAGAGAAACTATAAACTCTTTCGCAGGATATGTCAGGTCATTCATATTTTAGGTCCTTTCTGTCTAGCTTCGTCTCTAGCAAGGCATGCTCACTATATATTCATGCTTTGGCATGTACTGTTCTGTTTGTCAGGAATGTGCTTGTGATTTTTCTTAGAGACAAACTCCTCCTGTCAAGTCTCATTGCCATAAGGCTTCTCTGTGCAACTGACTTTGGTTTCTTCTGTGATGCTCCCAGTGTGCTGTAATAGTAGTTTTTATAATGTATTATAATTATTTTAAGATTTTGATTTCTTTGTATGTTGTTAGCTCTTTTAGAGCTAAGACCTCATCCTTTTATCTTTATATTCCCAGATTTCCAGGAATCTGGAAAAAAATGGATAATAAGTATTTATTGAACACATTCAAAATTAGTTACTTTACAAATTTTAATTTAACCAAAGCATTTTATGTTATAATATCAGATGAAATTAAGGGATTAAAATATGCTTATGGTGACTCTATATCCCATTTCCTGGAGCAATTCTAAATTTGAATAGTCTACTTCATTGGCCTTTAAATGTAATTAACAAAACATACAATAATATTTTGTTTAGAAGTACAATATACACATTGAACCTGTACCTTAAATTTAAAATTGTATACAATTTATTTTCGTAATTCGATTTCATGTACTTGTTAAAAGAAAAACTTGAGATATAAATTTAACAGTGTTTAATTGAGCAAAGAACAATTCACAAATCAGGTAGCCCCCGTAACCAGCGTAAGTTCAGAGCAAGGCCGGGGCTGCCTCATGGTCAGATGATATTTCTGGACCAAAAAAACCTGAAAATGATGGACAGAAAATGGAAGTGAAGTACAGAAACAGCTGGATTGGTTACAGCTCACTGTTTGCCTTATTTGAACACAATTTGAGCAGTTGGCTGCCTGTGATTGGCGGAAACTTTGTGATTGGTACCAGAGGAGGTTTCAGCCTATTGACAGATGCATTTAGGTTACATTTCATTATGTATGGAGGAACTTTTAGGCCAAACTTAAAATATACAAGGAGTCAGCTTTAGTCTAAACTTAACATACTTTATGTCTTTTTTGTTATACAGGTCACTATGAAAGCAATAATAGTGAAAAGTTGAAATTCAGGATGGAGAAATACCTGAATTATTTTTTAGCTCTGCTATTTTGCTGTGTGTTATGGTACTAATTATTGCATATCTATAGGAATACTGATGAATGTAAATTTTTGAAAATTTATAAATCCTTAGATATAAGGATCTGCATAACATGATTAAGGTTGTTACCAAGAACTGTGTTCTCAAAAATATTCTGACGTTAGTTGCTAGGATAGTAGCTTTCAATCTTTTTGGACTTTTCTGTTCTGATGTGCTTTTTTCAATTTGAGAACCCCAGTGTACTCCTTGCCCTCCTTCTAAAGGCAGATTGTTTATGTGAATAGGTTAAAAATAATTTTGTTTTGGATTCTTTAATATGCTCAGTTGGAGATGACATAGCATATCACAAGGCCATGGGTGATAATTATACATAAAAAATGCATTTATCAGTCAGACCCTTTACTTTTTGAGAATTCCCAATTAGAGTCTGGAGCTGCTTCTAAGCTGTTATTGTCATTGACTAGAAAGGGGATAAATATTGGCAAAGTAACAGGAATGAATGTTTAGAGCCGAAAAGATGGAGTGTAGATCTTGGTTCCATGACCTGCTATTTGTTTCTTTGGATGTGACCATTTCTTTGAGTTTGTTTGCTCATCTCTAAAATGATATAATAATACCTACCTAAAATGGTTACGAAAATAAACAGTAGTTTTTATAACAGTAGTACCTAACAAGGAATAAGGTTTTCATAAATTGCAGTTCTTATCGGTATCAATAAAACTTGAGGAATAGGTAAAAGATTTTCCTGTTATACCAAATATTGAGTTATTTGTCTTATTGAGTAGTTGTTACACTGTCTCTGCTTTCCCAAGCAGGTTGCTCTTTGAGACTCTAAAAACAAAGTGGTTTGAAGATGGCACAGATCAACAAGCAGAGTAATTGATTGTTGTCACCTTGTCTGGGAGAGTGCATTCCTTCACTTCTGTTCCTGATATGCCAATTAGAGAATATGAGTCTGTTTACTTCACCTTTCATCTTACTAGACATGATATCATTACCACTACTTCCTGCCTACATAGATTCCTGGTTATGGTTAAGGAGTTCCTTTGACCAGAATCCTTTGGTCCAGTCTCCTCTTTTTTCCCCTGTTATAGACTTCTGCCTCTTTTAGACTATAGAAACAGTGAGACTCTCCCAAGAGTGTGCTGACATCACTGGTTTTTTGAAATGGCTAAACAGTGCAACCTCACACATGGAATTGGAAGCAGAATTTTATTACTCAGTTTCATTAGCTTTGTTCACTGAAAAAAGGACTTCCAGCTAATGAAACTGAGTAATAAAATTCTGCTATTTTGTACCTCCTCCATAATCTTTAAATATCACTGTCATTTTGCTTTCAACAAAAGAACCTCCTTTCTGCATTTGAGAACAAAGGGGAACTTTCTCAACCTCCAGCCACTGAGTCTACAAACCTACTTGCTAGTGTACCCATTAGTTTCCTGGTCAAATGTGTCATATTCCTGCTTCCAGTTATTTCTCTGTCTGCTTGCACTTCCCAGCCAGACTTTCTGAAACACTTGTTTAAGAAAAGTTTTTTTTTTATATTCACTACCCAAATTGGTTCCATTTACTTCTCTAGAACTGCTCTTACACTCGATTGCCACGTAGCCATCCACGTCTGTTCCTACCATACTCACTTGACATTGGAGACATATGATGACTGCTTTCTTCAAAAACGTCCTTATTCTGTCTGCCACACACTCCTGCTGCTCTTTCTGCCTCTGTGACCACTCCTTTTAGGTTCTTCTTCTTCCTCTGCCTGTACCTGAATGATGATATTGATGTTTTCTCCTAAGCCCTTTCCACGGTTTCCTCAGGACATAGGAGGGAGGTGCTAAGTGAATTTGTTGAATTTACCTGTACTGATGATTTTTTTCAAGGAATTTGAGTGTAATTGAACCTTGTTTAACTGAAGAAATTGCAGTATATCATATCTGATTATATACTTCACAGCCAAACCTTGGTCTGGTCTCTGTGGACCATGATTCTCTTAAACTCTACCCTATGTTGATCTAAAAGGAAAAAGCTGAGGCAGGATTAATATAGACAGTTTATTTGGACCAGCGCTGAGGACAGCTGCCTCAGACACTTCCAAATTGCCTTGGGGAGTGCTCCCATTAGGCTTTTATTACAAGCAGGTTTTTAAAAGCAAAAACGGAGACAGGAAGTGGGCTGATAGAGTTGTCTGTCAGGAATTTTCTTCTCGTTTACAGAAATAATGCTGATTAGTAATTAGCTGTACATCATTGAGCTATAGGGTATGGGTTATGGTGTCTGGTTTGTGCCATTGTCAAGTCAATGGCTACTTGTGGCAATAGCAGTCAGTTTCAGTAAATACTTAGCTCAAGGGGGAAATTGCTCTCATTTTAATTCCTCTCTAAATCTGATAATTTAAAAGGGCTCACATTTTTCAGATGCGAAATATTTTTTAATGTATACGTGTGTGTGTGTGTGTTTATTTTTTTAAGACAGAGTCTCGCTTGTTACCCAGGCTGGAGTGCAATGGCACAATCTTGCCTCACTGCAACCTCTGCCTCCCCAGTTCAAACAATTCTCCTGCTTCATCCTCCTAAGTAGCTGGGATCATAGGGGCGTGCCACCATGCCTGGTTAATTTTTAGTATTTTTAGTAGAGACAGGGTTTCACCATGTTGGCCAGGCTGGTCTCAAACTCCTGACCTCAAGTGATCTGCTTGCCTCAGCCTCCCAAAGTGCTGGGATTACAGGCGTGAGTCACTGCACCAGACCTATTTTTTCTCTTTAATCTCCAACATACATACAGTGAAAAAAATCCATTATTCAATTTTTATGTTTATGAGATTCAGTTAACATTTTGTGAATTCGCTATATAAAAGGTACAAAGGTAGTATTAAATTATGATTTAATTAAGAATGCTTTTTTCAAAAATTTTATACCTGTTTGACTGTCCTATAGCATAGCTGCCCATCCTTAATAAAATAGTAATACCTTACTTGGAGCAGCAATTTGTTTTTAAATATACATAGAAGTCTATATTTGAATGTGAGGATTAGCGGTGGAGAGACAATTAATATTTAATGAAACCGTTTTATACTGGGCACAGGCATATGTATGTGCTTGTCTATGTATGGATTTTTATCTTCTAACAACTCTGAGAAATCTTGTGAAGAGAAAATCAAGATAAAGGGAAGTTAGATTGTACACTGCAACATATACAGCTTCTAAAATTCAGAACTCGAGTTTCTTCTGTCAGATCTCATAGCTCGTGAATCTAAGTGATACTGAAATTTTAAGTTGAGGATGAATGCCCAAATGTAAGAATAAAATACTGAGTTCTTGAGTTTAATAAATCTAAATTGTGTTAAAAGTTGTCTGTATCATTTCTGTCCTTAGGCAGTTATTTGGCAGAAAACCAGAGTATCAGGTCACAAGATGGCTCTCATGTCGGTTCTGGGGACTGCTGTTATGAACAATATGAAATCCTTTGAGTACCACTCTGAAGACTCTCAGGTATACAGCAAAGATGTTCTCTGATAATTCTGATTTACTAATGAAGCTGTTCACATATTTCCCTTTGGGGGAAGTGCAGTGGCAAAAGGTTAGTCTTTTAACATTTTAATCAAATATGTGTGTAAGGTAAAAAGAAAATATGGAGCTTCTGTTAAACCTCTTTCCCCTGCTTCCCTTTTTATCTTTTCTGTTTGTTGCTTACATTGATTTTCAAAAAAATTATGTTCAATTTGGAATCTTTTCTGTTTACTTTCTACTATAAAAGAAAAATAGTTGGCTAGGTGCAGTAGGTCACGCCTATAATTGTAGCACTTTGGAAGGCCAAGGCGGGGGAATCACCTGAGGTCAGGACTTCGAGACCAGTCTGGCCAACATGGTGAAACCCTGTCTCTACTAAAAATACAAAACTTAGCCAGGGGTAGTGGCACATGCCTATAATTCCACCTACTCGGGAGGCTGAAGGAGGAGAATCACTTGAACCAAGGAGGCAGAGGTTGCAGTGAGCCGAGATTGTGCCATTGCAGTCCAGCCTGTGTGACAGAGTGAGATTCTTTTAAAAAAAAAAAAGGAGAAAAAGAACGATTCCTCTCCCATTTCCCATTCCAAATATGTACTTAAACTTTTTCTTTTGTTTTTGAGACAGAGTCTTACCCTGTCACCCTGGGTGGAATGCAATGGCGTGATCTCGGCTCACTGCAACCTTTGCCTTCCAGGTTCAAACTGTTCTCCTGCTTCAGCCTCCCGAGTAACTGGGACTACAGGCGCCTGCCACCACACCCAGCTAATTTTTGTATTTTTAATAGAGGCGGGGTTTCCCCACATTGGCCAGGCTGGTCTTGAACTCCTGACCTCATGATCCACCCCTCTTGGCCTCCCAAAGTACTGGGATTACAGGCGTGAGCCACCACATCCAGCCAACTTTTTCTTGATCTATCAGTTTTAGACAGTGCTTTTTCACTCCCTAATACTAGATTAAGTTATTAACTCAAACTTTTCCTCGTACTCCTTCCTCTTTCAATCATATCAGCAATAGTTTTATATTATCAAACTTAATTTTTTATATATGTATATATTTTTTGGTTTTGTGGTTTTTGGTTTTTTGTGTTTCTTTTTTAGACAGATTCTTACTCTGTCACCCAGACTGGAGTGCAGTGGCAGGATCTCAGCTCACTGCAGCCTCTACCTCCTGGATTCAGGTGATTCTCATTTCTCAGCCTCCCTAGTAGTTGGGATTACAAGGGTGTGCCACCCCATCCAGCTAATTTTTATATTTTTAGTGGAGATGGGGATTTCACCATGTTTCCCAGGCTGCTTTCAATCCCCTGGCCTCAGGTGATCTGCCTGCTTCGGCCTCACAAAGTGCTGGGACTATAGGCGTGAGTCACCACACCCAGCCTCATGTTTTCTCATGTAGCCATTTTTTAAATCTTCTATCTTTTGTCTCAGGATTGATTCTAAAAGTTGAAAACTTGTATGGACTATAAAACAATCTTCATTAAAAGGCCAGTGTTGTAGTAAGATTACATTTTACCTCTAAAGAGCCAGTGTTGTATCGCTTATGCCATACAAATGAGAATATTCCTAGAACCCTGATTAAATGGACTCTCTGTTCTTGTACTCCCATCATTGCTCTGAATTTATTTTTTCTTTGCTTTAAAAATGGACTATCTTACATAGTTTTTCACTTTTTCTGGGGTTTTCAAAAAAATTTTTTTTTTATGAAAAAGTTTTTTTCATCATGTTAGCAATAAAATACAACTCTTTTTAGTCATCCCAGCTAAAGTTGGTGATCCATTTCATTATATCTTTTTGAAGATATAATGTTTTGTTCTTAGACCCCACTTATTTCTTATTTGGATCATATCTTAGGCCTTCTACATAACTCTTATCTTCAGATTTCTTTTTATAGGAATAATGCTTGGTTCCATTATTTTTGGTATGCCATGCCTTCCTCTTTCTTGACACCCATATTCATTTTTCTTTTTTTTTCTTTTTTTTTTTTTTGAGATGGAGTCTCACTTTGTCACCCAGGCTGAAGTGCAGTGGGGCACTCTTGGCCCACTGCAACCTCCAGCTCTGAGGTTCAAGCGATTCTCCTGCCTCAGCTCTTGAGTAGCTGGGACTACAGGCACATGCCATGATGCCCGGCTAATTTTTGTATTTTTAATAGAGACGAGGTTTCGCCATGTTGCCCAGACTGGTCTTGAACTCCTGACCTCAAGTGGTCCACCCACCCCCGCCTCCCAAAGTGCTGGGATTACAGGCGTGACCTACTACACCAGCCCCATGCTCATTTTTCTGAGGCACATCTTTAAGTAACTTCCACAGAAAGAGGGGACATGAGAGATAAATTTTCATGTTTTTGGCTGGACATGGTGGCTCACACCTGTCCCAACACTTTGGAGGCTGAGGCAGTTGAGGCCAGAAGCTTAAGACCAGTCTGGGCAACACAGTAAGACCCTATCTCTAAAAAACAAAACACTGCCAGGTGTGGTGGTTCACGCCTGTAATCTTGGCACTTTGGGAAGCCAAGGCAGGCAGTTCACTTTGAGGTCAGGAGTTTGAGACCAGCCTGGCCAACATGGTGAAACCCCATCTCTACTAAAAATACAAAAATTAGCCAGGCATGGTGGTGGGTGTCTATAATCCCAACTACTCAGGAGGCTGAGGCAGGAGAATCTCTTGAACCCGGGAGGCAGAGGTTTCAGTGAGCCGAGATCCTGCCACTGCACTCCAGCCTGTGCAACAGAGCAAGACTCTGTCTCAAAAAAAAAAAAAAAAAAAAAAAAAAAATTAGTCAGGTGTGGTAGTACATTCCTGTTGTCCCAGCTACTTGGGAAGCTGATGTGGGAGGATCCCTTTAGCCCAAAAGTTCAAGGTTGCAGTGAGCTATGATCATGCCACTGCACTCCAGCCTGGGCCAGGAACAGACCCTGTCTCAAAACCAACAAATTTAAAATATAAATAAATAAAAATTTTTATCCCTGAGAATGATTTCATCTTGCGCTTTTTCTTGTTGATAGTCTGACAGACATAGAGTTAGATTGAAATTAATTTTTGTCTTGGGTATTTTTTTACTATCCATTTTTGCTAATGGGAAACAATGCATTCCACTTTTTTTTTTCTATGTGGTAAGTTTTCTTCTATTTGAAAGTTCTTAGGATCTTTTCTTCATCCTTACAAGGATGTGTCTAAGTGTGTGTCTTTTATTATTTGTTTGTTGTGCAGAGCACTTGATGTGGATCTTTGGAGTCTGAAGACTCATTTCTCTCTTAGCCCCACGTTATATACTTCCTTCCATTATCACTTCATTATCAGATTCTTCATTTTGTTGATGCTCTTTACCATTTGGTATGTTTTTGGAGTGGCTGGTACTGGTTGTTACTTTCTATGTTTAGTGCCTCTTTCAGGAGCTCTTGTAAAGCAGGCCTGGTGGTGATGAAATCTCTGAGTACTTCCTTGTTCGCAAAGGATTTTCTTTTTCCTTCACTTATGAAGCTTAGTTTGGCTAGATGTGAAATTCTGGATTGAAAGTTCTTTTCTTTAAGGATGTTGAATATTGGTCCCCACTCTCTTCTGGCTTGTAGGGTTTCTGCTGAGAGAGATCTGCTGTGAGTCTGTTGGGCTTCCCTTTGTGGGTGACCTGACCTTTCTCTCTGGCTGCCCTTAGCATTTTCTCCTTCATTTCAACCCTGGTGAATCTGACGATTATGTGCCTTGGGATCGCTCTTCTTGAGGAATATCTTTGTGGTGTTGTCTGTATTTCCTGGACTTGAATATTGGCCTGCCTTGCTAGGTTGGGAAAGATTTCCTGGATAGTATCCTGAAGAGTATTTACCAGCTTTGATTCATTCTCTTCATTACATTCAGGTACACCTATCAAACGTAGATTATGTCTCTTCACATAGTCCCATATTTCTTGAAGACTTTGTTCATTTCTTTTTACCCTTTTTTCTCTAATCTTGCCTTCTCGTTTTATTTTATTGAGTTGATCTTCAACCTCTGATATCCTTTCTTTTGCTTGGTCAATTCGGCTGTTGAAACTTGTGCATGCTCTGCGAAGTTCTCATATTGTGTTTTTCAGCTCCAACTATTCACTTATATTCCTCTCTAAGTTGTCTATTCTGATTAGCATTTCATCAAATCTTTTTTCAACGTTCTTAGTTTCTTTGCATTGAGTTAGAACATGTTCTTTTAGCTCACAGAAGTTTCTTATTACCCACCTTCTGAAGCCTGATTCTGTCAATTCATCACACTCATTCTCCATCCAGCCTTGTTCCCTTGCTGGTGTGGAGTTGTGATCCCTTGTAGGAGGAGAGGCGTTCCGGTTTCGGGTGTTTTCATCCTTTTTGTGCTGGTTTCTTCCCTCTTTGTGGATTTATCCACCTGTCGTCTTTGTAGTTGTTGACTTTCAGATTGGGTCTGTAAGTGGACGTCCAGTTTGTTGATGATGAAGTTATTTCTTTCTGTTTTTTAGTTTTCCTTCTAACAGTCTGGCCCCTCTGCTGTAGGACTGCTGAGGTCTGCTCCAGGCCCTGCTTGCCTGGGGATCACCTGCAGTGGCTACAGAACAATAAGGGTTGCTGCCAGTTTCTTCTTCTGCTCTCTTTGTCCCAGAAGAATACCTGCCAAATGTTCGTCTCACCTCTCCTTTATTAGGTGACTCTTTTGATATATGGGGGTCAGGGAGCTGCTTGGGGAGACAGTCTGTTCTTTATAGGAACTCAAATGCTGAGCTGTGAGCTCCGTTGTTCATTCAGAGCTGCTGGGAAGAAGGTACGTTTAAGTCTGCTACAGCAGAACTCATAAACCCTTTTGTTTTCACAGGTGCTCTGTCTCAGGGAGTTAGGGCTTTATTTATGAATTTCCGTTGTGCTGCTGCCTTTTTTTTGTTTTTCAGGGCTGCACTGCCCAACAAGGAGGCAGCCTAGTCACTGTCTGCCTGCAGAGGCTTTGGCTGCTGTGGGCTCTGCCGAGCTGCCGTGTGAGCTTCCCTACAGTCCTGTTTATATGGGTGTAGTTAGAACTGCCTCGGCAATGGTGGCCCACCTCTCTAATGGCGGACTCTCTCTGTAATGGCGGGTTGCCTCGGCAATGACAGGCTACTTCCGTAGCAATGGCAGAGCACTTCTGTAGTGGCGGAGTGCCTTGGTAATGATGGACTCCCTCCCCACAGAGCTGGACCTTCCCAGGTTCAGCTGTGCTTGCTGTGAAACTCTCAACCCAGAGTGTTTCCAATTGCTGTTGTTGTTTTTTTTTTTTGTGGGGGTGGGACCAGCCGAGCCTGATCACCTGGCTCCCTGCCGCAGAGCCTTTTTTTTTTTTTTTTTTTTTAGTTCAATGGTCGACTCTCTCCCAGGTGTTCCAGTCGCCCTCTGCACTTTCACTGGGAGGTGCAATTCTGAGCTGCTCCTAATCGGCCATCTTGGATCTTCTGATCTGATCTACATTTCTTTTTTAAAAAGCATGTTACATATACTAATAATTTCAAAGTCCTTTTCATATTGCTCTATCATTTTTACTTTCTTGAGGCAAAATTCTCTAATTCTCTGATATTTTATATGCTTTAAAAATTTAATTTCAAAATCATCTTGAATTCAGGTTTATTGTTTTTGTTGCTTTGTTTTTGCTTTCCCGAACTTCCCCCTCCTTCCCATAGTTTGGCAGATAGTTCACTCGCTGGCCCCAATCCAACATCAGGTATAATATTAGTAATTCATGCTGCGTCCTGCCAAGATTTCACAGGCCCCTGTTCTTAGCCAGTTTGGCTTAGCCTTGTTCTTGGTTTGGAGTTGTCTCTGTTTTTTCTTGTGACTCTGGCAAGCAGCTCCAGGCAGTTGGCCACAGTATTTTTAAACTTTTTTTTTTTTTTGGGAGAAGAGGTGCTATATGAGGCCCCTTTTTTAAATGGAAAGACTGGTTTCAATGCCCTGTCTTAAATAGGGTGTTTTCTGTCCTTATTTCCGGACCAGAATTTAATTTCCAGCTGATACATCTTGTTTCTGATCCTAGACCACACAGGACATTTGACTCCCTGTTAAATGCTTTGCAATCATAACATCTTAAATTACATTTATGTGGGTGGCCTTTGGAAAATTTGTATTTTATCTATCATTGTTATATATTTGCAGTTGGGATGGGAGAGAGGGGATTTTCACATGAACTTGTTTCATTGTCCTGACTAAAAATAATTAAATTACTGCTTTAAAAATGTAACTTCATGGTGTTGTGGAGGTTTACTGAAAGAGGAGAAGGATTAGTGTAGGGGACCAGCCAGGATTGCATCAGTATAATCAGGGGTAAGAAGAGGAGATGGGTTTGACAGATTGGGTAGCTGGCAGGGCTCTTATCATAATAAAGGAGTATAGGAGGAGCTAGCAGGGTAGAGGTAGGATGAAATACTTTACCAAGTTTTGAATGTGGTGAGATTGAGAATATCTTTTGTGACAGCCAGTTGAAGATAGTGAGCACTGGGGAGTGAAAGAAATAGAAGCTGTACATCTGTATATCTTAGCATCACTGGTGTATGGGTAATTGTTAAAACTATAGATGTGAGTGAAATTACTCAGGAATAGTAACTAGAGAGCAAGAAAAAGGGGCCTGGTAATGGAAGTTGGGGATCATCATCATTTATAGGGGGTAAGGAAAAGGAGAGAAACCAGCAAACCAGAATGAAGAAGAAGCAGAAAGACCAAGAGAAAGTTGCAACAGATTCACGCAGTGAAATGCTTCCCAGACAAGAGAATTGTTACTGTTGTCAGGGGCTGCAGGGAGTCAAATAAGAGAAGGGCTGAGTAGTGTCCCTCAGAGTTGGTTATTGAAGTAGAAGCCTGCGTACAGAGGATTAAAGTGAGGGAGCAGCCCACAGTGGAGATCAGTTAGGGAAGAGAGCCTTCGATATTTGTTTTGCTTTTTAGGTTGAGGAATACTTGGGTACAGAATTTTGTAAAATCATATCTAATTTTTAATTTTGTTGCACTGATTTGGTGTCTCAAGTTACTTCTCTATGAACTGGCCTAATTTTCACTTTTTACAGCATTTTATAAGAGCTTACTGTTTTATTTTACTTTACCATATAACTAAAACAGTCTGTTCTTTTTCTTTTTTTTTTGAGATGGAGTTTCACTCTTGTTACCCAGGCTGGAGTGCAATGGCGCAATCTCGGCTCACCGCAACTTCTGCCTCCTGGGTTCAGGCAATTCTCCTGCCTCAGCCTCCTGAGTAGCTGGGATTACAGGCACGCGCCACCATACCCTGCTAATTTTTTGTATTTTTTTTTTAGTAGAGACGGGGTTTCACCATATTGACCAGGATGGTCTCGATCTCTTGAGCTCGTGATCCACCCACCTCAGCCTCCCAAAGTGCTGGGATTACAGGCTTGAGCCACCGCGCCTGGCCAGTTTGTTCTTAAGATTATCCTAAACCATTTTTAAAGCTTAGTATCTACAATAGTGATTATACAGTGACCAACCAAGATGGTGTGAAAGGAAATCACTAGCAAGTTACATATTTCTTCTTCATTTTATTCTTTCTTCTTATCCTCTCAGGGCAGACTTTTTTAAAGTCACAAACCCAGTAAGTCTTTCAGAGGCTAAACAGGCTCTTTCCCTGATGCCCAGCAGGTGCTTTAAGAAGGGTCTCATGTTACCTGGTAAATTATACAACCATTTTTAAATGCTGTGAAGTTTTGCAGTTAAGTAAGTAGTATCATTTTATAATGGATTATACAGATTAATTTATTTTTTCAAATTGGCAAAATTTGGCATTGTGACAATAATGCACTTAGTGTTCTAAAATTGGTAATGCATCTCCTTAAACACTTAGTTCCAAGGGCAGGGATAACCATAGACATAGGTGGCAGCCTACAGGCTATGTTAATAAGGAGCCTCATGGTTTCTGCTTAACTAAAAATCGTACCCCCACTGACTTACTTGTTTTTCTTAACCTAAGCTAAAACTTTACTGTTAATGTTCCTTGGCAGATTAATAACACATCTAGTTGTTTCTGATAAGAGATTTTTAAGCCTATGTTTTAAATAACTTAACCAAAATCACATAGCTAATGGTAGAACTGGGATTCAAACCTTGTCAATCTGACTCTGTCTTATATTTTTAACAGGACAGTATATTGTCTTTAGCTTTGTTAGTTAACTAACGATAAAAGTGGGAGCATATTCCCTACTTCCTATTCCTTCAGTATCTTTCTCTTTTCTCTGATATTCTTTTCTACTATCCTTCTTTATTTTCTCCCTCCTCTTTATACATTTGTAAAGTAGAGAAAGAAAGCATGTAAATAATCTAACATTTTTATACAAGGGAGTTTTCTAAACAAAAATGAAGCTAAAGTACAACAGTGCAATTAGCATTTAACTCTGAAGAAATTAATATAGAGTAAAAGAGATTTTTTTTAACTCAGAAATGAAAACCCAGTAAGATTGGTTTTATATAGCATACTCAGAATGAAGATAAAAATAGCCACTTCTTCATAGGAAAAGATGGTTAAAGAGAAAAGGACAGAGAGCCAGAGAAAAGTCACAATATGAGGAAAGAAACTTTTGAAAGACAGAAAAAATGGTTGAGTAGAGAGTGAATGCTGTATGTCCGATGGCAGTTAAATATCTGAAAGTATAACCATTCATGAATATTTTTATAAATGCCAATTTTACCTTAGAGTTGAAAAAAAAAAAGGCAGACCGCACCAGTGTAGCATGCGTCACTATTTTATTTAAAGTTAATACTTGGCACATGGTTATCAGGAAGTATGTGGCTTTTTAAACTTAAGATCAAAATCTGTTTTTAATTTTTTTATGCCTTTCAAAGTGTTTTATATAGCCAGACTCATGGAAACACATTGCCGACATTGCATATTCTGTAATTACTATATAGATTTATCTCAGTGGATTTCTTCCAAAGTGTGATGCAGACCACTCTTTCACCAGTCTTTCAACCCCAGAAAGAAGTTTCATCTTCATAAACAGTCGACCAGTACATCAAAAAGATATCTTAAAGGTAATCTGTTTTAGGAAACAAAAATTATTTGAATTGGAAATTTAGAACTACCTCTATCATTAGTCACATTGTAATAAGGACTAATTCCAAGAATTTGCTCTAAAATAAAGAAAAAGAGATATAATATCATTTATTAAGCATGGTGCCTGATAAAGAGACATGTGATATCTCTCTATTCTTCACAGCAATTCTATGATGCATTATTATCCCTGTTTATAGTGAGGGAACAAATGTTCAGTTTTTCTCTTAGGCCACCTAGCCAGGAAGCTAAGAGTTAGTAATTTTATTTGAACCCTAAGCCTTCAGAACTTCCATGACATTGTGATTTTTTAATTATTCAGCCAGTTTCATTGGACATTTGTACTTGCTCTGAATGCTTGTGCTTCATTTAGCTTCAAGCCTCCAGAGGAGTATTACTACTTATATAATGCTTTTCCTTTTTTTTTTTTTTTTTTGAGATGCAGTCTTGCTCTGTTCCCCAGGCTGGAGTGCAGTGGTGCAGTCTCAGCTCACTGCAGCCTCCACCTCCTGGGTTCAAGCGATTCTCCTGCCTCATCCTCCCAAGTATCTGAGATTACAGGTTTCTGCCACCATGCCCTAGCTAATGTTTGTACTTTTTAGTAGAGATGGGTTTTACACGTTGGCCAAGCTGATCTTAAACTCCTGACCTGAAGTGATCCACTCACCTCGGCCCCCCAAAGTGCTGGGTTGACAGGCATGAGCCACTGCACCCAGCCATGATAATGCTTTTCCTAATAAGCAGTTGCATCTACTCAATTTCTCAGTTGAAACTGCTCCTTTTCATTGTACTTTAAGGTTGGTGATATTATCTTTATTTACATATTTTGCTTTTATTTATTACATGTATTTCTAGTTAATCCGACATCATTACAATCTGAAATGCCTAAAGGAATCTACTCGTTTGTATCCTATTTTCTTTCTGAAAATTGATGTTCCTACAGCTGATGTTGATGTAAATATAACACCAGATAAAAGTCAAGTATTATTACAGAATAAGGTAATCCTTTTCAGATAATTTTTGTTATGCTATTTATAAACATATTCCTGTTTTCATATAAAAAAGCTTTGTTTATATTTTTCTTCATTTAAAATCTTGTCTATTATTTTCATATTTTCCCCTAAGATTTGTTAATTTGTATTTTTAGGAATCTGTTTTAATTGCTCTTGAAAATCTGATGACGACTTGTTATGGACCACTACCTAGTACAAATTCTTGTGAAAATAACAAAACAGATGTTTCCGCAGCTGACATCGTTCTTAGTAAAACAGCAGAAACAGATATGCTTTTCACTAAAATGGAATCATCTGGAAAGAATTATCCAAATGTTGATACTTCAGTCATTGTTTTCCAAAATGATGTGCATAATGATGAATCTGTAAAAAACACTGATGATTGTTTAAATCACCAGATAAGTGTTGGTGACTTTGGTTATGGTCATTGTAGTAGTGAAAATTCTGACATTGATAAAAACACTGAGAATGCTTTTCAAGACATTGCAATGAGTAATTTATCATGGGAGAACACTCAGATGGAATATAGTAAAACTTGTTTTGTAGATTCCATTAAGCACATCCAGTCAAAAAATGGCAATAAAGACCATATAGATGAGAGTGGGGAAAATGAGGAAGAAGCAGTCCTTGAAAACTCTTCAGAAATTTCTGCAGATGATTGGAGCAGGGGACATATACTTAAAAATTCAGTGGGAGAGAATATTGAACCTGTGAAAATTTTAGTGCCACAAAAAAGTTTACCATGTAAAGAAAGTAATAATAATCATCCAAGCCCTGAACAAAAGAATCTCAATGAAGGTCCATGTAACAAAAAATCAAATGTAATACATAATAAATCTGGACAAGTTACAGCTTATGATTTACTTAGCAATCGAGCAATCAAGAAACCCATGTCAGCAAGTGCTCTTTTTGTTCAAGATCGTCGTGCTCAGTTTCTCATAGAAAATCCTAAGACTAGTTTAGAGGATGCAACAGTACAAATTGAAGAACTGTGGAAGACACTGAGTGAAGAGGAAAAACTGAAGTAAGTTTCCAGAGCTTGCATGTGACCTGAATATTCAGCTGTTTCCATTCTATATGACTCACTGTTTAAAAGGAATTATTTACGGAAAAGCAGAATGGAAAATAATGGCTTGGATAGAGTACCTTTTTTGGTAACACTTTTTTGTTGTTAATTTAGGTTTTTTGCTGGGCAGGAACTTGTATTATTTTGTTTAATATAAGCCTTAACTGCTTTCTGATTTATTTATTGTTAAAGATTTTCCATTCATCTGAATTTTAAACCACCATTATCTTGTATTTCTTTTTGTTTTATGTCTAATAACTTTCCTGTGGTAGAACTTTTTTAAAAAGCTTTTGCATTATAGCAGTTATAACTGATGTTTATAATACCTCAACTGTTTCCTTTCTAAATTGGTCTCCAAAATATGTAACACAACACGAAAAATTTAGTATTGCAGATTCAATTTAGTGTTGTTCATTCATACTGTTTCTATTCAGTATAACTTAAGGCTTGTTTCTAAGACGCATTATTTATTATAACTTATAAATGATAGCGGGTGTTTTTATTATGTAAATAGGTGGTTTGATCTGTCTTTGATTAAAATAATACTTGCCATCTTTAAATTAGATATCTGAATAAATGTTCCAAAATAACATGATGAATGTTCTAATTGACTTAGGACACTAAATATAAACACAAAGTATATTCTGGTGATCTAACCCAGCAGAAAATGAGAGTGGAATTATACCTCCAATCATATACAGGTATCTAAGTATCTCAATATTATGTCAAATATGTGGACACAATTTTAAAGGTAATTCATCATCCAGAGTTTTTATTTGGTGTTATACTACTTAAATACTTGACCAATATTTTTATTTTTTTTATTCTTTCCTTAGCTTCTTCAGTATTATAAAAACAATATCAATTTAAAATGACAAAGACCACTATTAACACCTTTTCTCTTCAGCCTTTATAAGCCTTTTTTTTTTTAAGTGGAAATGGTTACTGTATTTTGTTCTTTTGGAAATATCCACAAAAGTAGACATTTTGAAGTGCGAAGCCATTACCGCATTTCACCACACATCATCTCATGGTCAGTCCTGTTAGTCCTGTTTTAGCCATACTTCCATTCACTTTCTTTCCCTTTATTATTCTGCAGCAAATCATAGGCATATCATCTGTTTCAGTATATTAATTCTAAAAGATAAAGATACTCATATTTTAAAACCATAATAAAATTGTTATAGCTTTTTTTAAAGGTATATATTCCTTAACATATCAAATACTCAGTGTTCAAACTTATAATCGTTTCATAAATGTCAGATTTTTAAAGATTTGTTTTGAATCATGATGCAAATAAAGTTCACATAATTGTGATTGTCTTTAGTTTTATATAATGATACAGCTATGCAATTTAAAGGTGAGGGGACTTAACTTTTAAATGCAGTAAGCCCACAAAAGTTGAATTGCATTGCCCAAGGAAATGAATTGACAATTGGGAATGGGAAAAAAGCATAGATGTTTCAAGTTCTTATGGAAATAGGGACAGTGTACAGGCTTATGATGAAAACTTACTTTGCTGACTGTTCCTTGCAACCTCACAACAGCAGGTATCTTTCCAGTTGCCTTTTGGGGAATGTTTGCATTGTTTCTCCTTGTGGATCCCAGGGTGTCAGGTTACTAGGGTTATGATTAATAGGCCTCATCTAAAAGTCTGTTTACCATCAATTACCAGAATATTTTAGGTGATATTCTGGAATCAATCTTACTTTCTCTCATGTTGCCGTAAAGTAGACAAAAGAGACATTGATGATCAAGACAGGCCTCTGAAGCTTCACCTGGGTTCTAACCACAGTTCTTTGTTAGCTTTTTATTAAAAAATATCGACAATCTCCCTTGGATTGTTGTGAGGATTAAATAAGATATTGTGTGTTATGATATAAGATCAATTACCAACACATGATTGCTTACAATGTCAGTATGATCAGTTTTTAATCTATGAAAGGGAGTTTTTCTGTTGAGAATAACATTTTTCATTTGCTGAGTCAAGATTAAATTGAATTTGGAGGCCAGAAATAGAAATCTGTGAAGAAAATATAGGTATCTTGGGATCAGAGGTCTACTGTATGTCACAGAGTACTGTGCTAGAACCATTCAGAGCCAGGGGTCCTGGGACCATGATCAGCTAAGTCTGGAATCATGATTAGCGAGAAGGTAGAGCAAAAATGGTATGACATCCAAGAATCACACCAACTACCACTTCTCTCCCTGTCTTTATCTTGGAGTTCTTTCCATGAATCTAAATTCTCTAAGTATATTAAGGGATATGAGAGTAGACTCCTGTAGACCTTCAGTCCATCCTTCCTTTTCTTTCTTCTCTTTTATTTCCTGTTTTCCTTTTCCTTTCTTCTTCTCCATCCCTCCTTTCCCTTCCCTTCCTTCAACTAGGAAGTATTAAGGGCTTTCTCTGTATAAGGCCTGATGTACTCTAGCTAGTCACTTCAGTTATAAATAAAACATACTTTCCTGACTCATGAATGGTGTAGGCTAGTAACAAGAATGTGATGAGCTTTAAGATATAAGTGTTAAATATAAGGAGTAATAAAAACAGACTTAATATTATCTGTGGGACAGGTAATGCTTCCCTGCATAGACATTAACCAGAAGGATTTTAGGGAATTGTGTAGGTAGGAGGAACATTATGTGAGAAGGCCCAGAAGCTACAAGAAGCATGGTATTATTAAGGAAATAAGATTTTCTCTATGACAGAATATGAGAGAGTATGAGTAAAGAAAGATAGGGGAAGGTGGGGGATGGACAATGGAAGGTTCTCAAAGCTATAACACAGAGTTTGAATAAGGAGTAGGATCAGGATTATTCAGTTATTAAAATCCTGATGAGAGCTTGGGACAGACTTTGGACTCAGACTTTGGGGTTACTTTCGTTGTTTTAGTTCTTCCTTTCTGGAGTTTGTTTCTTCTTACTCGCCTTTCTTCTAGTGAATTAAAATTCAGATTTAGGCACGTGCCCTACCACTGGTGTCTCAGTCAGTTGACATTAGCTTGAATTTTCATTTGCAGTAGTTAGGAATATATTTCTAATTAAACTAAGAAAAGTATTGCAATTATGAAAATGATAAACTTTATAACTAAATGCAATTTTTAGTCACAAGAACATTATTTGAACTGACTTCTGGTCAAATCAGTATTAACATTTTCCATTCAGGTTACTAAATCCCTTATTGACATTAAGTACAACAGTAGCAGCTGCTTTTACTTAACATTTTTACTTAATAGTCCTTTGGACATAACTTTTTATATTTCCCAAAGAACTAATTAAATTGACTTCTTCAGTAAATCAAAAGATGAATACCATATGTGAAAATTTGCACATTATAATTAATTACAAATGGTGACCTTTGTTTTGAACTCATTTTACCATGGCACAGGAAAAATATTTAATTTGAATGTCTAAGAGCTAAAAATACTATTTCTAGGACATGTAGAAAGTAAACTATTGAAAATCATGTGTTTTATACAGCTAATCCAGAATCTCAGATTCTGAGTAGAAAATAACTTTAAAATTGTGAATATGGGATGGTAATGTAACCAAAGAAGCCATTTTTTAATGTAGTTTACAAGAAAACATTCTCATCCAGATAACATTTCTTCATTCAGCACACATGAACTGAACACAAACTACATGCCATGCCATGGTCTCCTCTCTGTTAGATCTCACGTTTCACATTTAGCACTGTTCTCTCAATAATATTTTTATTTCTTCACATTCCATATTTTTCCTTGAGATTATTATATGCATATAATAAAATTCAGCTATTGTTTTAAGAGTATGAGACTAGAAATGGCCACAATTCTCTAGTGTCAAGTTTAAAACTTTCTTAAAAAATAATCTTTTAGCAAAGTTACTTAATTTCCAACCATTACTCGCACCTTCACTGTTAAGATTTCTGTTTCTTGGGAGAAAATAGTGATAGTAAAACATTTAACACCATTTACTCTGTGCTAAGTAGTATTCTACGTACTTGGCACACTTTAACTTATTTCATTTTTCACAACAAAACTGAAGTAAATGTAGATTATAATACATATGTTACAGTAGAGCATAGTGAGACACAGAAACATTAAATAATTTTCATAGGTTTACAGAACTACTAAGTGGCAGAACCAGGCCAGGTTGTCTTCAGGGTCTGTATTCTTAATCACCACACTTGGCTGAACACAAAAAAGCAGTAGTTTCCAATTCTGGCTGTGTACTGGAATCACCTGTGGCCTAGGAATTAGAAGCTCTGAGGGTGGGATCCAGGTATCACTTTTTAAGAAAAGGGGTGACATTAACCACTGTGCTATGTCTTTGGCTCCAGAAGTTTCATTTTCCTCATATTATTGTTGACAAAAAGATCTCTTTAACTTTCTAACCAGTGTAATGTTTTTTAATTCTTGAGTTCTTAGAATCTGTCCAATACAATTTTTGAAACATCCATTATCTTGTATCTTTGAAATTGAGTTATAGGGAATTCCTCAGATTTGGAATTGACCCATTTCTGAATTCATTCTCTTTTTCTGATTGCTTGTGGCTCAACACTTTCTTGTGGCTCAACTAAAAAAAAATTTTTTTTTTTCTTGAGGAGGGTCTCTAGTTCTGTCAGTTACTGAGGAAGGAGTATATACTGTTGCCATTCTGGCTTCTTATGCTTGCTATTTGCATGGTGTATCTTTTTCAGCCTTTTAGACTGCAGTGTTTTTGTATTTCAAATGTAATGCTTGTAGATAAAGTTGGGTGTTACTTTTTAAATTCAGTTTGATAATCTTTGCCTTTGGATTTCAATATTTAGTCCATGTAATATAATAACTGACATGGTTGGGTTTAGGTCAGCCATTTTCCTGTTTGTTTTCTGTTTGTCCCATCTCTGTTTTGTTCTTCTGTTCCTTCTTTCTGTGGGAGAGGAGGCCTTTAGCGTTAAAGAATATATACATTTTTTTTTTTTTTTTTTTGAGACGGGGTTTCGCTCTTGTTACCCAGGCTGGAGTGCAATGGCGATCTCGGCTCACCGCAACCTCCGCCTCCTGGGTTCACGCAATTCTCCTGCCTCAGCGTCCTGAGTAGCTGGGATTACAGGCACGCACCACCATGCCCAGCTAATTTTTTTGTATTTTTGGTAGAGACAGGGTTTCACCATGTTGACCAGGATGGTCTCGATCTCTTGACCTCGTGATCCACCTGTCTTGGCCTCCCAAAGTGCTGGGATTACAGGCGTGAGCCACCGCGCCCAGCCAAAAAATATATACATTTTAGTATCTAATTTTAATTTCTTTATTGAGTTCCCGTTAGTTTTTGCTTTGGAGATTACATTATGTATCCTTATCATAATCTACTTGGAGTTAATAAAATGGAAAAACCCTGTAAGTATAATTTCACTTATATTTGGTGTCACTCCTTAATAGTGCACATATACTGGCAACTAATTCTCATCTTTATCTGAAAATGTCTATTTCATCTTCATTTTTGAAGGACTTTTTTTTTAAATGAGATAGCCAAATTCTGGGTTCTTTTGCAATTTAAAAGATTTCACTGCCAGCTGTGTGCAGTGGCTCACACCTGTAATCCCAGCCCTTTGGGAGACTGAGGCAGGTGGGTCACCTGAGGTCAGGAGTTTGAGACCAGCCTGGCCAATATGGTGAAACCCCATCTCTACTAAAAATACAAAATTAGCTGGGTGTGGTGGTGCATGCCTCTAATCCCAGCTGCTCTGGAGGCTGACACAGGAGAATTGCTTAGAACGTGGGAAGCAGAGGTTGCAGTGAGCTGAGATCGTGCCAGTGCACTCCAGCCTCAGCAAAAGAGGGAGACTGTCTCAAAGAAAAAAAAAAAAAAAACAGGTTTCACTGTCTCTGGCTCTTCATGATAGCCTTTATTTTTGGTGTTTCCTCTTTGTACTGTTTTTTTTTTTCCTCTCTTCTTTAATGATTTTATCTTAATCTTTGGTTTTCAGCAGTTGAATCTCATATACCTATGAGATTCTTTGCATTTATTCTATGAATTTATTCTTTGTGTTTATTCTGTGAATTTCTTTGCGTTTTATTCTGTTTGGAGGTTTGCTGATCTTGCATCTGTAAGTTTTACTTCCCCAAGTTTGCTGATTATCAACCCGAATATCTTCATATTTTATTTCTTTCCCAGTTTTCCATTTTTTATCTGGGACTCCAACGACATATATATTAGGTTGTTTGTTTTCCCATAGATCACTGCGATGCCTTTCCAGTTGTCTTCACTTTTCTGTAAAGTGAACACAACACATTTTATCATTTCTATTGATCTGTCTTCAACTTTACTGACCCTTTCTTTTTCCTTCTCTGATCTGCTGTTAAGCCTATCCAGTGAAAATTTAATTTTGGATACTATATTTTTTAGGTCTAGAATTTCCATTGTATTTTTTGTTTTATAATTTCCACTCCTCTGTTGAGATTCCCCTTCTATTCTGGCATGATGATGATCTTTTAATGTTTAATGCTTAAGACCTTAAACATTTATTAAAATTTATTTTTAAATGGTTTTTTGATAATCCTAACATCTGGGTCGTCTTGAGGTTGGCTTCTACTGACCACTTTTTATTTTACCATGACTCACATTTTCCTGTTTTTTTAGAGTAGTAACTTTTGAATGTACAGTGGGGCATTGCAGATGATATGTTTAAAACTCTGGGTTCTGTTATCTTCTTCTAGAAAGTGCTGATTTTTGTTCTACCAGGTATTTAAATTACTAACAGATCATCTTGAGCTTGTTTTTTTACTTTGTTAGGGAGAAGCTGTTTCAATTTTGTTCTTGGTCCCAGGGCAACTTCCTAAGTTTAGGACGTAGGTTTTTATCGTAGGATGTGGCCCTCTTACAGTTTTAATTGAAAGCCCAAAGTGTTTCCCAGGCCATGAAACTGGAATTCAGCTTCCAAACTTTGTTTCCCCTGCAATGGGCAGAAGCTGAAATCTCTCTTCAGCTCATTTAGCCTTGTAATGGCTGTTTTCCTTTGGGTTCCCACACATGGGATTTTCTTTCTCAATTTTCAGTTGTTTTGGAAGCAGACAGCTCTGTGTCTTGGTGACGGGCTAATAACATTGCAACGTTCTGATTGAGTTCTGACCACCCTGCTTCCTCTTAATACCGGGGATTGCCCCTCTGGGTAAAAGTTGTTTAAATGTGGGTCTCTTTCTCTTTTTTTCGCTCACCCAAGGAGTGAATCCGTAGCAAATTTTTCTACTTTTGGCTGTTCTTCAGTGCCCACTTTAAATAATTGAGTTTTGTTTTTGTTTTTGTTTTTTTGAGGCAGAGTCTCACTCTGTTGCCTAGGCTAGAGTGTAGTGGCACGATCTTGGCTCACTGCAACTTCTGTCTCCTGGGATTAAGCGATTCTCCTATCTCAGCCTCCCAAGTAGCTGGGACTACAGGTGTACACCAACATGCCTGGATAACTTTTGTATTTTTAATAGAGACAGGGTTTCTCCATTTTGGCCAGGCTAGTCTCGAACTCCTGACCACAGGTGATCTGCCTGCCTCTGCCTCCCAAGTGCTGGGATTATAGGCATGAGCCACCATGCCCTGCCAATAATTGATTTTTATATTTTGTTAAGTGTTTATCATAATTATATGCAGGAGAGTTAATCTAATACATGTTCCTTTGTCGTTACTATACCTGGAATGCCAGTTCTTTATTTTTGTAAAATTTACCTCAGATGGTTAATATGTTTCTGATTATGATCTCATTAGTTCTATTTTATTTCTGTTCTTAGATATGAAGAGAAGGCTACTAAAGACTTGGAACGATACAATAGTCAAATGAAGAGAGCCATTGAACGGGAGTCACAAATATCATTAAAAGATGGCAGAAAAAAGATAAAACCCACCAGCACATGGAATTTGGCCCAGAAGCACAAGTTGAAAACCTCATTATCTAATCAACCAAAACTTGATGAACTCTTTCAGTCCCAAATTGAAAAAAGGAGTCAAAATATTAAAATGGTACAGATCCCCTTTTCTATGAAAAACTTAAAAATAAATTTTGAGAAACAAAACCAAGTTGACTTAGAAGAGAAGGATGAACCTTGCTTGATCCACAATCTCAGGTTTCCTGATGCATGGCTAATGACATCCAAAACAGAGGTAATTTTATTAAATCCATATAGAGTAGAAGAAGCCCTGCTATTTAAAAGACTTCTTGAGAATCATAAACTTCCTGCTGAGCCACTGGAAAACCCAATTATGTTAACAGAGAGGTATGATGATGTAATATTTTTTAACTGTAAAAATATTTGTTATAATAGTTCATACTAGATTAGAAATTGAAGGTAGAAGGTTGAGAATGTTTTCTAGTAAGGATTAGTGGTTTTTTTTTTTTTTTTTTAATCTTTTAAAAATTTGACTTCTAGGCCAGGCACTGTGGCCCACACCTGTAATCCCAGTACCTTGGGAGGCTGAGGCAGGTGGATCACGAGGCCAGGAGTTCGAGACCGGCCTGGCCAACATAGAGAAACCCTGTGTCTACTAAAAATACAAAAATCAGCTGGGTGTGGTGGTGCACACCTGTAGTCCCAGCTACTTAGGAGGCTGAGGCAGGAGAATCACTTCAACCTGGGAGGCAGAAACTGCAGTGAGCCAAGATGGCGCATTGCTCTCCAGCCTGGGTGAAAGAGCAAGACTGTCTCAAAGAAAAAAATTTGATTTCTAATCCTTAATGGAATTGTTTATAAATAATATCAGAATACATAGTTCACTTCTACATTTAATAAATATGTAATTGGTTTCTCTTGTACATTAGTAACTTCTCTGGGGCAATTTTGAAGTTAGATTGTCATGACTTTATTCCATTATGTACTTATTGTTTTAACATTTTCCAACACATAATGAAATAGAAGTATACAATGAATATCTTTATCAGTAATTATCAAGACTTTGCCACATTTGCTTTGCCTTTCTAGATAGTATATACACATACATTTTCTTTCCTTTGCCAAAGAAGTTTAGAACAATTCCCCTTCCTACATCTTTCATTCTTCTCTCTCAAAATATGGCTCTTTTCTCACCTAACCGCAATACCTTTTTCATACCTTACATAATAATAACTCCTTGGAATTGTTCCTCATTATGTCAAAATGCCTTTTTTTACAGTCTTTAAAAATTTTTATATTTAATTTGTATCTAAACAAGATCCATGTATTACATTTGGTTATCTTGTTTATATCTCTTAAAAATCATTTTATTATTGTACATACTGAGTCATTTTTTTCAGTGGAATGTCCTATTGTCTCTGTTTGCTTTCTTAGGATGTTCAGCTTCTTTTTCTCTCCCCCATGTTTAATTGGGAGTTAGCTCAGGAGGACTGAATACATTTAGATTCTAATTCCTGGTGCATCTACTTAATAGATTGGCTGTGTGCTTTATACTTCACATCAAAAGGCACTGTCACTAGGTTCAATTCAGCTAATGACAGCCTATCTTTCACATGAAAGTTTCCCATCAACCTTTCCATGTAGTGGTGCCATTCATTGATGATTTTTGCCTGAAATAATTTTATTATTGGTTGTAATATAGGGTACTTTCTTTTCCTATTCTATATCAGCAAATTGCTTTCTGTAAAAATAATTAACCTTGGATGACAAAGCCTGAGGAGACAAAAATAAATTTAAAGATTAAAAAATAATGACTAACTTACTAACATTTCTCTTTTGTAACTTAATATTTCTTTTTCAGTCGAACACAGGTAGAAGAGAATCATGACGAAAATAATAAAAACCTGAAATTTAAAAAGATAAGAATTTGTTCACTAGGATACATCATTAGATAACTGTTTCAGAACTTCCAAGAATAAAGCAGAAATCATTTATAAAATGTGTTAAAAGTCTTGTTAAAGATACTGCGGTCTTGGAGGAGAAAAAAATAAGGACAGAACACAGAAAAACATCTGTTAAGTCTATCTTTTTAAATAAGGCAACAGCAACCATATTAACCAAAATCCAGTATCTTTTATTGTGGTCTCTTGAGATTGGCTTAGGAAACTATCGGAGGAAGAATTAGAAAATAGTTCCTTAGGCTACATTCAAACAGTTTAAACACCTGATGGTGCTTTTTGCTTTCTTCTCTAAAAAAGAGCTAGGGTACGTCTGAATTTTTAGACTTGACTGCTTTTCTGAATGGCATTTGTAAACTTCATTTACATTTCAAAAATCTTTTTGTGCTTTTTAAATTAGAGTTTTTAAAAAATATTTTTCTATGTGATATTCTGTTATTCCAAAAACAAACACATTAAAAACTATTATTTTGGGAGCCTGAAAATAAATCTTTCTTAATTGATCCTAAATAGGAATAAAGATTAATTGAAAATAGTTTTTTTTTTCTTCTTTTCGAGTGTGGTATCCCCATCGCAATTAATGATGTAAGTTTTTCAGAACAGAGTCATGGACTAATTTATTCCCACAATGTGACAATGTGGACAGGGTAATTATAGGTTGGGCTCAGTTTTCTTGCCAGAGTTCTAATGCTGTTTGTGTAACTCACTTCTGAATGGAATAATTTTGGCAGCTATAAAACATAAAGTAAGGGCTTAATAATTACAATGATGGCTAATATGTATTGAACATTTACTATATGATAGGAACTTGGCAAAGTTTAATTGTGGAGCCTGCATCATTAATTGCTATACAGTATCATAATCATTACCACAACTACCATCCCTACTGTCTCTCAGATAGATTTTTAGGATATTAGTTAGATGAAACAGAGTACATGTAAAATATAGCCAAAGCTCTCTTCTCTAATATCGGCTCTCACAGCCAATGACTGTAACACATCCAGACCAAGCCTAAAACCAGTATGTGAGGTTGATTTGTACCCTAGGTAATCTTTGGCTTCCTCAGAATTCTTCACCACTTAGAATCCTTTCATATGCCACCTTTGGCAAACATGCCATACCTGCAGTAGACCAAAAGAAGCTCTCCCAACCTCTAAATTGATTAATATATAAGTTCCTAGAAGAAAGACATATATGTTTATCTTTTTGTTACAGAAGAAACTTGGCATAGCAGTTATAAATCTGGCAGGATGGACCACCTAACTTGACTATTACTGTGTCTGTTTTGAAGGGATAAAATGGAATTATTTTTAAAGTTTTCATTTGTATTATATTTAGAGAGAGCCATTTTTAAAATTTCCCATTGATTTGTAACATTCTAGAAGACAGATTGTCTTCTTTCTGTTCCTCCTTTCTGTATACTGTGTGCAGTAGATATCAACAGAAATGTGAAAAAGTGGTTTCTCATAGGGCTACTTATATACCTTTATATTTTGGTTAATGATAACACTTGTTGAAAGGCCCTTGGATTAACTTTTTCTCATAAACCCTCTTATTTTTTGTATTTAATAAATTAAAGAGCCATAATTTCTTTTGCAGTCTGTTTGATGGATCTCATTATTTAGACATTTTATATAAAATGACAGCCGGTGACCAGAGATTCAGTGGATCAACTTACCTGTCTGATCCTCGTCTTACAGCAAATGGTTTCAAGATAAAATTGATACCAGGTATGATAGTGTGGTTTAATATTTTCTGATGTGGAAAAAATAATCTTGTTCCAAGAGTTGCATTTGGGTTTTATGATCTACAGATATGATGGTATATTTTTTTCTCACTGTAAGTACAGTGTTGGCTGTGTTAAAATATTTATTTCAAAAACATCACCTCTGCCTGAAACAAGCAAGTTTGGCATGTCTTTCAGTCCAATGCTTTACATTTGCATTTTCATAATGAATGAAGTAGTTTTATTGTAATTTTTGTCATTCTTTGACACAATACTCAAACTGCCTGCTTTGTTTAGATTATTAAAATACTCTTAGATGATGACACAGAAGTAGGGTACTAGAATGGCCTCACAGAAATGGACATCTTTTCTTTTTAAAAAGCATTTGCTTGTTTTGCCAGCTAGACATGTAAGATCAGCAGTCGTACTGTATGAGAATGGATGATTTGATACAAAAGACTCATAACTCTCTTTGCTCAGTATGGAAATTCATTGGGTGGAATTTAAAAAAAAAAAGAAAACTCATCTGGCTAGAGACTTCAGTTTTCCTGGCTGGCCCCTTCTTAGCTCTTTTGTAGTTTTCATACTCAACTACCTTCTGCTCTACCTTCTGTTACTTTCTCTTAAGGGTTACAGTGGGACCATGAGGATGGACTCCACTGCTTTCTTTTTGCCTCTAAACTTGTCATGCCCAAAGTATAGAAAAACAGAGTTCAACCAAAACAATGTTTGCAGATTTTTAAAGGAATGTTTTACTGAGATATGAAAATAAGTTAAAAGAATATACAAAAGCCATGGAACTGGGTATATAAAGAAAATACTTTGGTGTCTCAAACATAAACTAATTTTACTTGATTTTTGTGGTTTTAAGGATACCTAACCTAAACTTCTTACCTGTCACCTCAATTCTATTAGTCCATATCCCAGCACTACCATTTAAAAACAATGTGTTTTGGGGTAAGTCAGCTGGCCATACTGTGTTTTTATTGGTAACTAATAATTACTGAATTATTATGTACAGGGCTCTATTCTAAGTATTAAGTGCATTAATTTAATCTCCCTAATATCCCTGTAAAGTAGGTTCTATTACTGTCACCGTTTTACAGATGGAAAAATCAAGGCACAAGAAGTTAAGTTTGCTCAAAGGGACACAGTTATTGGTAGAACCAGGATTTGAACCTAGGCAATCTGCCTTTAGAGCCTAGCTGTTAACTCATTTATTATATTGCCTTCATGTCAAAATTTAGATATTTATTCCGTGAAGTATTTGTGAGCATTAACCAAGGTAACAGTTAAATCAGTGAGCATGGTACTTGGCAATGGGAGATGCCCACATAGTCTCTTTTCTTACCATCCTTCAGCCCCCTTTAGCAGACTTGCAGTCATTTAGTCTTCCTAGAAATATTTCTTCCTCAGGGTCCCTGGCATCTTAAAATTTATGTGAAGTGAATTTATTTGAAGCAAGGGATAGGTGGGTGTGTTTGTTTTATTGACTTAATCTGTTTTTCTAATTAACTATATGGTGTTGTTGGCAAGTACCAGTTTTTTCATGAATGATATTAAACAGGCTGGGCATGGCAGCTCACGCCTGCAATCCTAGCACTTGGGAGGCTGAGGTGGGTGTATCACCTGAGGTCAGGGGTTCAAGACTAGCCTGGCCAATGTGGCGAAACCCTGTCTCTACTAAAAAATACAAAAATCAACCAGATGTGATGGCGAGCACCTATGATCCCAGCTACTCAGGAGCTGAGGCAGGAGAATCGCTTGAACCCAAGAGGCGGAGGTTGCAGTGAGCCAAGATCATGCCACTGCATGCCAGCCTGGGCAACAGAGTGAGACTATGTCAAAAAATAAAAGATGTGAAACAGCAGGTGGTGGTTGTTGTTTTAAGAATAGCTGTTCTTTCTTACCTCCCACTCAATTCCAAAAGCATATTTATTTTTGAGCTGCCCGGTAAGTTTATATCTGACAGATGCTTTCAGCTCTTAGATTTTAGATAGTATTTTTAAAATCTTATTGAATGCCTCATACTTTCAATAGTATCAAAGATGCAAAAATGATTAAGTCACCTGCAAACTGACTTTATTTGATTGGAATTAACTTTACTTAAATTCACATCAGCATTTTTTTCCTTGTCAATAACAGAGCAAGTTAAAGACACTTAGGTTTTCTTTCTTCATTTCTTTGTTTTTTCATTTAAAAAAAAATAAGTTGTATTTTCTTAACAATCCTATCTTGTGAGAGTATTGTTGTATTACACTAACTTTGAGTCAACAGTTTGCCTGTAGTCACAATACATTTTTGGATAAGGATAAAAGCATTTGAAAGAGAAGGAATACATCTGGCTTTGAGAGAGAAGATTCTCAGTGTGACCCTAAGAACTTTACATGCTAATGGGAATAGCTTTCTGTCTTGCATAAATAAGAATTCCATATTTTAGGAAGTGAAAACTGGTCAAACCATTTACTCATTTGATATATTTTCCCTGAAAATTTGTACGCATTTCACAGTATTTTATGGAAACTTTTCAAAGGTTATTGTTCCAAATGTCTCTAACTTTTCCATATCTGAATTTTGCAAACACAGAAGTAAAAATATTGCTCAATTTCCTTGTTTGTTGCCAGATACTTCTTACCCATTTCCACTAGTAATTCTGTGAAATGTGTAATTTTCCAGAGCAAATGTAGTTACTATTAGACTTTTCATTCTAATTATACTGTAAAAGATTTAGGACTACCAATAGTAAAAAGTCACTTAGACTGATATTTTTGGAAATTTTCATATCTATAGGTAAAAGGGAACTAGAATATTCCGCTACTACTTCTTTGCCTATCCACACACAGTTTTGAGTTCCATTTACATTCCCCCTGTTGCTCAAACTCACTTTGTCTCCACTTTTAGTCTGTTTGTGTTGCTATAAAGGAATCCCTGAGACTGTGTAAGACTCAGGTAGACCTGAGACTAAAAAAAATGACCGCAAGCAGCCTGCTTTATAAAGAAAATAATTTTATTTGGCTCGTGGTTCTGCAAGCTGTACACGAAGCATAGTGCTGGCATCTGCTTTCCTTTTACATGCAAGTTCCAAGTTTAAGTCATTTCTTTGCTCCCATATCTGATGGCAGCCATGCCACTTCTTGAATGATTTGCTGCTTAGAAATTCTTTCACTAGATAGCCAAATGAAATAGTGATGGCCTAGGTCATCACTCTTAAGTTCAAACTTCCACAGATCCTAAGGGCAGAGGTATCCAGTCTTTTGGCTTCCCTGGCCCACACTAGAAGAATTGTCTTGGGCCACATATAAAATACACTAACACTAACAGTAGCTCGTGAGCTTTAAAAAAAATTACAACAAAACTCTCATAATGTTTTAAGAAAATTTACAAATTTGTGTTGGGCCACATTCAAAGCCGTTCTGAGCCGTATGTGGCCCATGGGCCACAGATTGGACAGGCTTGCACTAGGGTATGGATACAGTGCAGCCAAAATCCTTTTGGAGATGTAAAAAGGGTGACATTTACTCCAGTGCCCCATAAATTCCTAAATATCATCTGAGACTTTATCAGCCTTTTCACTGTCCATATTTCTATCAGCATTTTAGTCAAAACCATTTGACCAGTTTCTAAGAAGTTCCAAACTTTCCCTTATCTTCGTGTCATCTTCTGAGCTCTCAAACTTTTCCAGCCTCTGCTCTTACCCAGCCCCAAAACTACTTCTAAATCTTCAGTTATCTTTATAGTAATGCCCCACTCCTCAGTACTAATTTTCTGTGTTAGTTCGTTTGTGTTGCTATAAAAGAATACCTGAGACTAGGTAATATATAAAGAAATGAGGTTTATTTGGCTTGTGGTTCTGCAAGCTGTACATGAAGCGTAGTGCTGGCATCTGCTTCTGGTAAGGGTCTGAGGAAGCTTACATTCATGCAGAAGGGGACGAAGAGCCAGCATGTCACATGGCAAAAGAGGGAGCAAGAGAGCGATGCCAGGCTCTTTTAAACAACCAGCTCTTGTGTGAACTACCACAGAGACCTCACTCATTCCCATGGGGATGGCACCAAGCCATTCATGGTGGATCTGCCCCTATGACCCAAGCACCTCCCACTAGGTGCACTTCTAACTGTAGAGGTCACATTTCGACATGAGATTTGGAAAGGACACACATCTAAATCATATCATCTTCCTTCATTGAACTCTGTATCTCATCCTGTAACGCTTGATAATACAGTATTATATATTATTCTCCAGTTGTTCTCTGGGAAAAATGTTAGGATACCGTCTCTGTAGTCTGCCACCATTGCACCTGCCATGACCAGACTAGTCAAGGATCTAGTCTGAAATTAGGAACAGGTAACGGATTGGATGATTGAAGTCTCAGGATTTGGAACTCTTCAAGTTACATCACGTGTCTTTTTTAAAAAAATTAATCCATTGATGGCTACTACTTATCCAAGATTGGGCTGTCCCTTTGCCTTTAATTCCAGGTAGCATTATGTAGACTTCATGAAAGAACACTGTTGCACAGATACAGCCAAAGAAGACAAATCTTTGCTATTTTCAAAAAACATGCATTCTAAAGCCAAATCTGATGCTTTGAAATATGTGCTGTTGTGGATATGTACCCAGTTTTGCATCCAATCCTGTAGCTAGTTTTTAGTTTTTATTTTTTGAGACAGAGTCTTGCTCTGTCGCCCAGGCTGGAGTGCAGCGGCACAGTCTCAGCTCACTGCACCTCTGCCTTTTGAATTAAGTGATCTTCCCATCTCAGCCTCCCAAGCAGCTGGGACTGCAGGAACATACCACCACACCCAGCTAATTTTTTTTGTATTTTTGGTAGAGATGGGATCTCACCATGTTGGCCAGGCT